AAACAAATTTCTCTGCCATCGAGTTGACCCCATAGGACAGAGCTGAACTGTCCCTGTGGCTGTCTGAGGCAGTAACTCTTCAGTAGGAAACCTCATCCTTCTGAGCAGCAGCTGGAGGTTTTGAACTGCTGACCTTGTGGTTAAGCAGCCAATGAGTAACCACTATGCCACCAGGGTTCCTAGGAAGGGGGCAGTCTTCCATAATCCCTATCCTGTCCATTGAAACACAGGAGGGATTGCTTTCTGTCTGGAAGATCCCTCCATCCCACGAACCAAACATGACTCCCGCCTCCTCCATAGGTCCTAAGCCCAGCCCTTTCTGGCTTACCCTTTAAAATGCAATTTGGGCATCACCTCCTCCAGGACACCTTGGTGACACCACCCACGCCTCGAATGTGTTTTTGCAACTGCCACATCAGCTGCGATGCTACCTTATGTGTCTGTGCGTTTGCAGGATTGGGTCTTATCCAGTCGTGAACCGTGCCATTCCGATAGCCCCCAAACAACGATGCTCATGTTCAAAGTAGCGTCCCGGTGGTGCAGTGCCTTAAGCACTGGGCAGCCAACCCAAAGGTCAGCTGTTGGACCCATCAGCCTCCTCAGAATCTACTCTGTCCCACAGGGTCACTGGGGGCTGGAATCCACTCAAGGGCCGTGGGTTTGGAACTGAGGTTCCAGGTAAGTGGGTCAGGGAGAAAGCTACAGAAGGCTCCTGAACTGGACCTTGAAGAACAAGCAGGAGCCGGCTCCACTGAAATGGAAGGCAGGCCATCCAGAGGAGCAAACGGCATGTGCCAAGGCCCAGAGGAAGCAAAGTCCGGTGTGGCCATGGTGGAGGAACAGAGGCAGGGAAGCCAGGTCGTGGATGGCCTGTTAAGACAAGCACAGGGCTTAGCACTTTGTCCAGCAGCCAAAGGGGACTCACAGAGGGGCATTAGCATGGGGTGGGCAGGCATGGAAACCATTAGAACTACTTTTGAGATTAGGGGGCGGGGCTGGCACAATGAGCCCCCTGGAAGGCTGGTTCCTCAGTCCTAGCTTCAGGCTTTTGGTTCAGCGGGGTCGCAGGCAGGCCTGAGAATCTGCATTTCTGGCAAGTTCCCGAGGGACGCTGACCCATCGGTCGGAAGATACCATGGACACAGAACCATTTCTATACAGGGCGCGGTGACGAGCACATCACAAGGAGTAGACTATGCAGAGGCAGCAACTGAACCAGCTTGAGGCCCATGTGTGGAATTCTTGTGTGTGTGGGGGTGGACGGGGACGACGGTGCCTGAGCTTAAGTCTTCGCCGATGTGCCGCTGCCACTGTCTGTTAGTGCAGGCGACGATGAGGAACAAGTGTGGCAGGGCCTCCAGACTGAGGTGACCTTGCAGGACAGGCCTGGGGAAGGACTTCGGCAAACTCTGAGCACTGCAGCCCAATCTACAACTGAGCCTGGGGAGGCTGCCCCCGGGCCAGGCCTTCCGTCTGGTAGTGCATGGGGCTCACTATGAGTTGGGGGCTGGCTTGGCCACAGCTCAAGACCACCATTGAAATCACTCAGGTGGGAGGCAAAGGAGGCAAAGTGTGGTAGTGACATAATCTATGGTCATTTTGAGATGTACGAGGGAAGGGGTGGAGTTTGGCCTGTCAATCAGGTCACAGCTTGATCTCATTTGGAGGCGGGATACACACTCACTACTAGGGAGACATTCTTGTTGACAAACCACATGGAGACAGGCTGATGACCGTCAGAGCCCTGGAGCTGAAGGAACCACGTGGAGACCCCTGCCAGCACTGAGATGTTTCCACCACCACTGGATCCACAAGACTTCCCACCCACTGGCCTGTGATCATCCTGCATTCAGCATCATTGCATGTGTTTCATGAGTCTGAAGAGGAATTTATAGATTGGTATTGGGCATATGGGCTAATATCGGACTTATGGACTTGATCTAGGCTGAGTTGGGATGTTTTCTCAATATTCAACTGCTCTTGTACATAAAGCTCATAGACACTCGTGTCTATGAATTTGTGTCTCTAGTCTACCCAGACTAACACACTTGAGTATGTATTCACACATGAAATCCTGACGTCACTCTTTTCAGCACCTGGATTGGTGAGAAATGGAAGCGTGGTGATAAGTCAGGGTCGGGAAGGGAGGCTATTTGGTGGAAGCAGACCCACAGTTGGTAGCAAGTTCAGAGAGCACAACAAAGACACAGCGCCCAGAGTTGTCATTTAATGCCCGGTCGTTAAAACCCAAGGAGGCTCACCGGGTGCCCATCACAACCGGACCCAGGGTGAAACCAGAATGGAGGGCACCATCCTGTACCGAGTCCCAGCACAGGTACCAGTCCTCTCAGGCCCCACCCGCCAACCCAAGCGTGCTGTCTACTCAAAGCTTCCTCATCTCCTGCAGGAGCCAGCAGGCTGGTGGGCTTGTGGCACCGTCGGAGCAGAGGGCCCTCGTGAGAGAACAGGGTCCTGGGAGGAGGTAGGGGCCTCCGGGCAGAATGACAAGAACCAGAGAGCTAATCTCCAACAACCCCAAAAGGCATTCACTTCAAACGCGCTAAGCCACACAACACCAGACGCTGGGAAACCCCAAACATTCGCACTAAACACTAATGGCTTCACAGAACTCGAGGCTGAGAACACTTGGGGGACATGAAGACGAAACAGCCGAACGCCAGTTTCATGAGCGTTCCCAGCTCCCTCCTCTCCCTGCAGCCGCTCTCCTGGCCAGCCGGCTGCATCCCCCAGAGAAGGGACTGAGCTGTCCATCATGCCCGCGTAGCTAGAGGGGAAGGGCTCGGGCACCCGGCCCTGTTTGTAAGAAACATCTTTAAAGCTCCAACTCGACTAGGAAACTGAATGCTACCGTGGTCCCTGGAGGCCCCGGGTCTGGGGTGTGCCCGGTGACCCAGGGGCTTAGAATTAGGCAGCTTGGGAAGAAATGGGCTTGTCTTCAATCCTAGTTTTAAAGCTTACCTGGCCCTGAAGGAAATACTGCACAAAACGGCTTTCTTAAAGCACTCCGGGCACCAGGAGTTTCAAGTGTCACTGGCAAGAAAGAGGCACGAGCTTGTTTCTCCTGCCCAGCCCGAGGCTTTGCCTGGGTGGTTCAGCTCCTCTGCGGGGCGCAGGAGACAGAAAGGGGCCCCACGGGGCAGGACTGGGCAGCTGGCTGTGGACTCAGGGGCGGCCGGCCCCAAGCTGGGCATTTGGGGAAGGAGCTCTCCATGCAGTCAGCCCTCAGCATGAAGCTTCTGCTGTTGGTCCTGCCGGCCCTTTCTCCCTGTTCTCTAATTCCATTTGGGGAGGCGCAGCTTCAGACAGAGCCCACGGCCAGCGAGTCAAGCATCTCTGTCTTCAGGGAACCGGCCACATGGCTGCCCGGCGGCAACCTCAGAAGGCGGCCTGACCCCAGTTCCACTGTCCTGAGCGCCCTGCCCCACCCTGAGACAGGTGCCCAGGTGGTCCCTTGGGCCCAGGCATGCTGGGGCTCCCACTGGGCTTCTGCTGAGAACCCCGTGAGCGTTTGTAGAGGGGAGACGGAGTGTTTCTTTAAAGCACACCAAGTCGAGGGTGGAGTGTCTGCGACCTGTGGACCACTCCCGGGCTGGAAGCGGACTTGGGGAGCTCTGGAGGTGGAGCAAATGGCAAAAGGCATGGTTGTCCCCAGGCGCCGGGGCCCTGGTCGCCGACCCGCTCCTGCTCCCAAGCTTCACGCCACTCAGACAGCTTTGGAGCGGTCAACAAGAAGGCCCACTTCACATTTTAGACCAACTTAATGCTACAACGTCTTAACAAAGTGCTCCCTAGCTGGGGCCCTGAGGAAACCCTGCTCCCTGAGGGTAGGTGCTGGTAGGCCTTCCGGACCCCACTCCTGGCCACCTCGCGACAGAAGGCCTGGCCATGGCCTTGGCTTACGCCCCACCCCCCACCCCAGGTTTGGATGGGGTGAGTGAGACCTCTGAGAGACGTGATGAAACCCACCACTCACCAGGCCTCAAGACTGTGGAGGGAAAGAGGAGCCCACCTCCCTTTAGCTGCCAGGCCTGGTCTGCAGTGCAGACCCCTCTCTGTCAGCCCCTCAGGATCCTTGTGGCAGTAACAGAGGCACCAGCATGCCACCACCAGGCCCTGGCCACCTACCCGAGGGCTCTGGGTGAAAGCTACACAGGTGGCGGTCAGTACAGAATCACCCCCCACCCCTGTTCAACCAACTGGCAAGAAAAACATCGTCCAGGGAGGGATGTAGGGACAAGACCAGAAGTCACCCAATGGAATGCTTTGGGGCTGAGTACCTGTCACTAGCTCACCTGGCCCTAGCCTCTCCCTTCTCCCTGGTGGCACTGCCTCCATCCCCCAGACTCTGCCAGGGCCAGGCCCCAAATCTGAGGAGAGCTGTCCACCAGGGCCAGGGCGGCTGCCTCTCCACTGTCTAGGTTCGCCTCAGGAAGAGCTGTCCGTGCCCTGCTGCCCTGTCCTGAGTGCAGGGCTGCTTTGAGAGCCCCGAGGGCCACCTCCCGGGAGGATCCTTTTTATATTCTCTGGGGAGAGGGAGGGGGAAGTTAGGAATTCCATGGGAAAGGGTCTCAAAAACTGGCTGCTCCCTCCACCCACGACTCCTCCTGCTGTCTCCCAGGACCCACTCCTGGGAGAGAGGAGACCTAGAGTCTGAGGCTAGCACCCCAGCTGGAGACACCAGACTAAGAGCAGAAGGTCCACAGATGGGCGGCCAACACTTACTAGAAGTTCAAGGCCTTAAGTGCAACTGGAGCCCGGACACCCTGGATGACCCCTCAGACACCTAGCCCCCCCACTACGGGTGGGAAGGCTGGGGGCTGGCCTGGGGCATTGGAAGCCTGGGGGTGGGTGGGGTGGGTGGGGGGTGTCAGTCCTTGGACTATGGGCAGTGCTGGCCCTCTCTGAGGAGAAGTCTTGCTAGAACTAGAACGATCTCCCTGCTAAAACTCAGGGGAGACAAAACAGAACTCAACCTGAAATAAATACAAAGGCATTAAGTGCTTCTTAATAAACGGAGGGCCCTAATGACCCCTCAAAAGGAACCGGAAGGCCTTTTCCCGACCCGGTCTCCTCGCCTGTGGCCCTTCTGTGAGAGGTCTGAGGTCAGAAGACGAGAGGAGCCGGGACCGGCTCCCATTAGGAAGGGGAAGGACCCGAACCCCTGATAACACCCCTCGGCTGCCTCCTCCAAAGCCCTCCAAGCAGCTTCTGCTGACAGGGCGTGGGAAAGGAGCAGTGACCTCTCCCCCCACCCCCATGCCCTCAGGGCAGCACCTCATGTCCAACGTCCCTGTGTGGGCAGAAGATCTGTCAGTCTGTCCATGAGGAGGTAGAGACAGGGGCAGGGCAGCTGGGGACAGGCAGGGTGACTCAGTTAATCAGCAGGTCCCCAAGGTCATAAGAGTCAAAGAGGTCGCTGATGCCCTCTCCGCAGTCCAGGCCCCACAGGTAGTCCTCTTGATCCAGGGACGGGGAGAAGCTGACCAACGGGGAGCTGCACGCCAGCGTTGGGGACAGGAACTGGTCCTCGGTCTGCTGCAGGAGTGGGTGTGGCAGATCCAACATGCTGTCCGTGGCTTCCAGGGGGACCAGGGGCGACTGCAGGACCTGCTGAGGAAGCACTGGAGACAAAGAGCCCAGGGTCACATCTGGCTCGGATGCCCAACTCCCTCTAGGTGGGGCTGTGCCAGGGTCCCCGGGGGCCTCAGAGCATGAGGTCCACCGGCCCCCACTCTCTGGATAGCGACGCCCCTTCTTCCTCCGTGGCCTGCCCTGCAGCGACACCCCCTCATGGTTCAGGAGACTACCGCTCACTCAGTTGCCCAAGCGGAAAGGCCCAAGAGCATCCACAGGCCACCATTTCCTCCACATCCCGTCCAGCGGCCACGGCCAAATGAGTTCTCCAGCTCATTTCCCTTCGGCTCCTGGACCAAATGTCCGCCTCGCTCACCTGGTCCACTGGGGGAGCCCTTTACCTGGACTGGTCACCTTCCTTAGACGCCTGCCTCTTTTAATCTATACTCTAACTTTAAAAAAAAGCCCTAGCTTCCCATTGACTTAGAGCAAAACCCAAGTTCCGGAAGGACTTGAGGAAGTCTGTGTGATCCTGCCCGTCTCCTTCCTACCTCTCCCCGCACCTTCCACCCACAGCTCAGTCTAATCACACGGGCGCCAGCTGGTCTTCAGAACTGCAGCCCAGGCTCACGGAGCCGTAAGGTGATTTCCTACACAGGGGCCTGGAACGGGGCGCCGGAAACCCCCCACCAAATGCATCCCGGTGCTTGGAATCCCACCGTTTGAGTCATTCCTTCAGCCCAACCCAAGCGTGGATGTGAAAATACTGCTCTGCTGTGCCAGACTGCTCAATCAACCGCTGACTCATCGTCACCACGGGCAACTAGCTTTCTCTGAGCCCTTCTTTCCTCACCTTTAAGATGGGGAGGATAGTTCTCTCTGCCTGGAAGGGTTATTGAGAGGGTTAAATGCTAAACGAACACAGAGAATACTGGTCTGCAGAAAGCCCAGGCTGGACTCACTACGCTACCCTTGTTCTTAAGAACAGTCCCCTCGGACCGCGTAGAAGTGGGTGAGGGAGACGTCGGATGGTGTAAGATATGACAAAATAATAATACTTTATAAATTATCAAGGGGGAAGGGGGAGCGGGGAGGGAAGGGGAAAATAAGAAGCTGATACCAAGGGCTCAAGTAGAAAGCAGGTGTTTTGAGAATGATGATGGCAACATATGTACGAATGGACACAATTGATGTATGTATGGATGTGATAAGAGCTGTATGAGCCCCTAATAAAATGATTTAAAAAAAAAAAGAGAATAGTCCCCTCTGCTAACTTCAAGGTCAGCAGTTCGAAACAACTGGTTGCTCCTTAGGAGAAAGATGAGGCTTTCTGTGCCGGTAAACAGTCACGTTCTCAGGAACCCATGGGGGCAGTTCTACCCTGTCCTATCAGGGCACGATGAGTCAGCCTGGACTCCATGGCAGGGAGTATCTGCTCTGGAATTTGGCCTGTCCTTCTGTCTGTGACGCTTACAAACAAAAGATACAATCCTTGTTCCTTAAGGGCATCAACTAGACACCTACGTTTCTTTCCAAATGAGTGAGATGCGGGGACCTTTACCACTGAAAACTTGTGATTCTGTAAAACACACCTGTCAATGGAACAGCCTGCTCTCTGAGCTAAGCTCTCCCCAGACACTTAAGCAGCCCTGAGAGGCCATGCTGCTACCCTACGTACAGATGAGGAGACTGAGGCCAAATGAAGTCAATTAAATGTATCTGAATGGAAAACAAACAAAATGACATGTGCCTGTTGGGTGCATTGCAGAAGGTAAGCTTAGGGGAGTGAAAGTGACCAGGCTCTGTAGCGAGGACGTGGGTTTGGGGCCCCAGCGGCACCTCTCCCTGGCCGTGGGACCCAGAGCCTCCCTCAGAGACCGTAAAGATCCACCTTGCTGAGCTGCTGAGATAACACAGCTGAGAGCCTGGACTACACGCTGGACCTTGCTCTCTGTGTTGCTGTCTACCGTGTTGTCCAAATAGAGCTGATCTGTGCCAGCTGTCACTTCAGCACACCCTGAACACCTCCTGTGCGGGGTGGTGGGGGGGGTGGGGGGGTGTTAAATTGTGTTTGGCTGCATATCTCTAACACCCAGCATGAGGCCTGGCAGATGGTAGGTGCTCAGTACACACTAGCTGTTTCCAAAATCACATTCAAATCATATTGCCTCCTGAGCCCACCCCAAGACCACAATGGGATCCTAAGTGTCCCCTGTCCTGGAGGCAACATAACAGAAACTCAGGAAGGTTCAGGCGACCTGCCCACAAGCCACAAAGCCACTGAGACGTCTGAGCCCTGTCAGCTACACTGAGGCTTACCTCAGACCGTCAGAGCCCAAAGGGGTGTTAGAAAGGACTCTGGTCCAAACTCCTTCCGATGCAGATGAGGGAAACGGAGGCCACAGAGAGTGGATGGGTACCCTTGGATGCCAGAGACAGGGTCGGGACCAGCTCCCGGGGCCTCCTCTTTGGGCCTGCACGGCCATGATCATGCTTCAGGTCAGAACCTGGAGCGTGGGTACATGTCTGCTTGTGTGACCCTTTCAGGAAACTTCCTCCCCTCCCCCTCGCTGGACACTATGAGGTCAAATGGCAAGGGTTGAGGGCAGCCATACCCCAAGACCTGGCACGGAGGTGAAAACTGGCTTCTGGGCTGGCCTGATTGCTCTGAGGCCCAGCAAAGCCTCTGCCCCTCACTCGGTCTCGGGCTCGAGCTGTGAAAGGAAGAGAAGAGCCCTGTCTCCACCCAGGCCTGGCGCGGCTGAGGGAAGGGGTTGTAACTTTGGGTTCTAACTGTGCATGTGCTGACAGCCAAGCAAGCAGCCAGAGAAGGGAGAACCGGGTGGGGCCCAGGTCTGGGGCGGGAGATAGGCACCTGGGTGGTGCCCAGAGGAACAGATGGCCAGTGTACAGAGGAGCCTCTGAGGCTGACAGACACAGGAGAAATCACGAGAGATGAGCCTGAGGCTGGGCTCCTAGCTCTGCCGTCACCGTGCTGTGTGACCTGAGAGAAGCCACTTGCCCTCTCTGGGCCTACTTTACTCAGGAAAACTGAAGAGCTGAGTTCTATCAGAAGTCAGCACACTCTGCAAACGGTCAAAAAAGTATTTTAGGTTTTACGGACCACTTATGCGCTGTCACAGTCATGGGGGGAAAAAAAGCAAATCAAAACAAAAAACTCTTAGAAGTGTGAAAACCATTCTTAGCCAGGGGCCCTCAAAAACAAGACCCCCGGCAAGTTTGTTGGCCCCTGAGTTAGAGACACGGAATCTGGGAATCTGACCAGTTCTAGCTCTGCTTTTGCTGAAACACTTGGGTTTTCCCTCGGGGCCTTTGGCCTACTGTGGCCTTAAAGGGGCCAGTGGATCTCACTGTAACATGGAAAAGGACAAAAACTCGGCTGGGCCCCTGTCTCGGACCCTTCCGGAGCCCCGCCCTCCCTGGGAGGCCCCTCCCACCTCCCGGGTGATAGTTCCACACCCCTCCAGCGGAGCCAGCTTGTTGGGTGCCTAGCTGGGAGCCCCGTCCTTGAGCTGTCCGTGCTTCCAGGAGACAGCCCTGGACTGGGCGCGTGAAGACCAAGGGCGCCTCATGGCTGGGGCACCCTGGGCAAATCACAGCAGCCCCTGCCTCAGTTTCTCTATCTCCCAACTGGAAGGAACAAAACTGACCTTGAGAGGGCTGTGAGGAAATACGAAACTGTTCACGCACTGTGAATGACAAACAACGGCCCTGAGCAATCTGGGTAGAAATTGTGGAAACTGAACTGCTGTATAAGCCTTGCCCTTGACTGAAACAGCTTCTCTCAAGAAAATGAGTTGCTGTGAGGAATGATGGGGTAATGGGGTGGGCCAGTATAGAGTTGGGACTCAAAAACCTTATTCTCCCCAAGAAAGGTTTTAGCCTTTTCCCTTCCAAACATCCCCCACAAAGCACTCCCTGAGCTCCCAGTTTATAGTGACTGTGGGCTCACTGAGTGCCAGCGGCTGTCATCGGCCATGGTCACAGTAGCAGCAACGCCAATGGTGGCAGTCACACTGATCGTGAAACCAGTCACTACGGAGCCGAGTCCAGCTCCTGGCAGGCCCCACGCGTGTCCGAGTAGAACTCCACTGCACAGGGTTGTCAATGGCTGGTGTTTGGGGAAGTAGACTGCCAGGCCTTTCTTCTGATGCACCTCAGGGTGGCCTCAAACCTTCAACCTTCTGGTTAGCAACAAGTGTGTGAACCATTTGCATGACCCAGGGACTCCATGGATAGTAATAGTGAATGGGGTTTGCCAGGTAGCGTTGCAAGCACTTAACCTATAGCAACCGATACTGAACACTCACTACTGCCTTGTCTCGGAAGCAGGTCTGCACTAGCACTATCGATACTACGTCTTTTACACACGAGGAGGTTGACACAGAGACCTTCCGTAACCTGCCCAAGGTCACACAGCTAGTCACTAGAAGAGCTGGGATTCAAAACCAGGCCTCCTGACCCTGGAGCAGCCTCAGCCCCCCCAGTGCGACAAGGAACGTGGACAGCATCAAGGGCAGTTCAAAGGGGCCGGGGGCACCATGGTGATAAGCAGTCAGACGGGTTACTCTCTCCACCTCGTGTCCCTCTGCACAGAAGGCCCTACCTGAGGCAGGTTCGGTTTCCACGATTCCGGGGCTGGCACAGCTGCCAGGCTCGCCTGAGTCAGAGCTGGGGTCAACGGTGGAGGTGGAAGAGAGCGGCTCCTTGGCAGGGCTGTCTGGCTCCTGCACCTCCTCCGGGCACAGGTAGACTTCTATGGGCCCTTGAGTGCTCTTCAGGTAGAGCTGCAGATTCTCCTGGAGGAAGAGGAGCCAGGTCAAGGCTCTGTGGGTCGGTGTGCACGGCAGACATACCGGGCACCCGGGGTCCTTGTGAGCAAGTGCACACCCTGGGCTGGCTTCTCTGCCTATGATGGGCACCTGCTGCGTCTGCCTGACCCCGAGTTCCCTTCTTTTAGGAAGAGAGACTTGGTTCTCCTTCAGGAAACTGTTCTCGCCTACTCTCAGGTCATGTATTCGGGTGGGGCCAGTACCCTTCCTCACCCCTGAAGGGTGAGCTTGTGAGGCAGGCTGGGACCAGTCAGCTACAATGAATGGTTGGGAGTGGCACATGACCCCAGTCAGACCAAGGACTTCTGCTGGGCTTATGGAAATGGAGCTACCTGCCGAGCAGAGCTGGTAGCACAAAGCCTATTCCTGCCACCGCAGGAGCGGCGGCCACCTGGGCCTGCACATAGGAAAGCAGAGGGAGAGAGTGGGTGGGAGGCGGGCATGGGAGTCAGTCTGGGCTCCTGGATCCAGCCTTGCTGGAAATCTCCAAATCATCTCCCTGGACTTGTCATTTGGTTCCCTTTTCCCTCCCCCTGCAGAGGGAGCCCTGGTGGCACAGTGGTTAAGTAGGGTTTGGTTTTGTTGCTACTAATCACAAGGTCAGCAGTTCGGAACCACCAGCAGCTCTGAGGAAGAAAGACAAGGCTTTCTAGCCCCACACAGAATTCCAATTCTGGAAATCCTTGGAATCGCCTGTTCCCACTCTGTCCTCCAGGGCTGCTGTCAGAATCAACTGGATGGCAGGGCAGCTTTGTGTTTGTTTTTAGCATACGTCAGTGAAACTTAGCAGTCTGTGGTTATTTATAACCAAGAAGATGAATACCTGGCCTTCTCATCCCTGCCTCTTCCTGACCACACGAGGCTACACACACACACACACACACACACACACACACTCAGGCCTCCGTGCCTCTCTGCTCACGCAGCACCCTCTGCATGCCTCTACTTCACCCAGCCAAGATCCCTTCTGTCCTTCCGACCCAGTTTAACTGTCCCCACCCGAGGAGGCTTCCTCCACCCTATCCGCTTCCTCAAAACGTCTTTCATCTGTAAAGGACAGCATCGTGACTCGCTGGGGTCTCCCAGGCAGGGCAGGGCCTTGCTTATCGGTCCACGGAGTCGTTTCTTGGGCCCTTCTGTGTGCCAGGCCCTGGGCTGGGGGTTCCACATGGGCAGAACACTTCCTTACAGGCTTAGGTGTTAGCGTGTCACCATGTCATCACCCGGCTGCATCACAGCACCGTCCTAAACTCACGCTGTTGATTCCAACTCACAGCGACCCTACAGGACAGAGCAGACCTGCCCCCTTGGGATTTCCATGCCCATAAATCTCTGCAGAAGCAGAAAGCCTCAACTTTCTCCCCAGGAGTGGTTGGTAGTTTTGAACTACTGACCTTGCAGTTAACCCAATCACAGCACGTGAAGGCTATAAACACAGGCTGTCAGGAAGTCTGGGGGTGATCAGAGAAGACTTCTTTGAGGAAACGACTTTCAAGATGAAGTTTGGGGGAGGAGTAGCAGGGAACCGGGCAGAGGGAGGAAGCACACTCCAGCTGGGGGACAGCATGAGTGTGGGTCTCACGCCGGAGAGGAGCGTGCTGTGACTGTGAGCTGTCGTGTGAGTCAGACTCCAACTCACAGCAACGCCACGCACCACGGGATCAGACTGTTGGGACCCAGACTTTCCACTGGCTGCTTTTCAGAAGTGGGTCACCAGGCCTACTTCCTAGTCTGTCTTAGTCCGGAAGCTCCGCCGAAGCCTGTTGAGCATCACCACACCTCGAGACAAGTGGCAGCTGTGTTTGGGTGCATTGGCTGGAAATACAACCTGGGTCTCCTGAATGGAGATGAGCATTCTAGCACTGTGCCCCCCGCCCCCCTCCAACAGAGGTACATTTAGAATGGTAAAACAACAGCAGGCAGGTCAGTGTGGCCGAAGCAAAGAAAATAAACAGGGGCTAAGGTGAAAGCAGAGGCAGGTGAAGTTTGTTGGGAATGGAGCACACAAAGGGGTCACACAGAGTTTTGTGAATTTTGGTCTTCTGCAAGGAAACAATAGTCCAGAGGACGAATGGGCCACACAAACCCCAGCCTCCGTGACCCTGAGACCAGAAGAGCTGGATGGTGCCCGGCTATCCCAGCTGACTTCTCTGAAAGGGGGCGCAGTCAAAGGCCCTGGATAGAGCGGGAGAAAAAACGTGGAAGCAAACTCAAAATTATGCATTCAGTCCAGACAACTGGTCAGACAACGACTGGTGGGCGGCCCACAGGTACCCTTCAGAGCTGGACACTCGCTCACTGTCTTGGCTTCTCTTTTAGTCAAACAATAGACAGGCCTGTCAGGTGAACCACAATCCCAAGGAGGTGCACGCGTACTACAGCTCACATGTGCCCAGGGACAAAGCCCAGGAGGCAGTAGGGACAGGAAAGAAGGACAAAGGGAAACGGAGAGTCCAGGGAGTAAGTGGAAAGAGTGGTGACATTGTGAGGCTCGCAGTCAAGGTCATGGGACAAAACGTGTCTGAATGATTGGGTGAAAAACCAATTTGTTCAATAAACTTTCACCCAAATCAGTTTGAGAAGAAAAAATAGGACATTGGTCTTTCACCTAAGAAAGGGTTCAGACAAAATACCCATTTATAAACTATCAAGGGCTCATGTGGGAGGGGCGAGCGGGGAGGGAGGGGAAAAATGAGGACCTAATGTCGGCGGTTTAAGTGGAGAGAAAATGTTTTGACAATGATGTACAAATGCGCTTTACACAATTGATGTGTGTATGGATTGGGATAACAGTTGTATGAACCCCTAATAAAATGTTTAAAAAAAAGAAAAGAAAAAAAAAGAAAGGGTTCCATACATGACACAAATAGTGTTTGACTCTTAGTCAAAAGGTTGGTAGTTTGAATCCCCCCCACCCCCCCAAAGCACCGCCTGGCAACCTGCTTCTGGAAGACCTCAGCCCCCCAACCCCCATGGAGCAGTTCTGTTGGAAATCACAGGGACGGACAGCTCAGTGTGGAGGCCCGCGTGTGAACGCCAGGAAGAGACCAGGAACCAAGAGTTGCCCCGACCAGGACTTGCTGCCCTTTCCTGACCACCAATATTGCCACGGGCACCACACTGGACCCAACAGGCTTGGAGCTAGGCAGTGGGCAATGCCAGGGACAGAGCCTACCAAGTTACCCAGCACCCTCCAGCCTCGCTCTCCCTCAAATACAGGCCCTCTCACCTCATTCTTGTCGGGCACTTCCAGCCTCGTCTGCGGAGGAGCCTTGACCGCGATCACCGTCTGCTCCTTGAAGTTGCCGACAGCCCGGAGGTCCTGGTAAGTCACGTAGGCCAGTGTAGGGGCAGGGGAGTCAAGGAAAGTGGGCATCGGCTCAACCCTCCAACCCCACTGCCTGTCAGGTAGGACCTCAGCCCACCCACCTCTCAGAAGCTTGGAAACACCTCCCTTCTTTGTATTGTTTTTCCAGACTTGAGTTTCTTTTTATTTTATGTACAAATAGTTGGCCAAGATCCTTTGAGTTCTGACGGCAACACTGGCGGTCCATATTGAGGCCGTATTTCCGGGTCAGACGGTGCTGGTTTGAGCACAGTCGGCAAGAGCGGGGAACCCCGGCTAAATTGTCTTGGGTGGCCCCAGTAGCGCTGCTGGTGACCCACGTTGTTTCAAAAGGACCACCTCACTTCTCTTTATAGAGCTTAGAAATGGTTAAAAACTGCCCCTCTTCTTCTGTTTCAGAAAGCCACCTCGGTTCCCTCCTGAAAGCCAGGGGGACTGGATCTGTTAAAGATGCTGCCTTGAACAAGCAAGCAGCAAGTGCTGTCTTGGATCACCCTTTTGCCCCCAGACTTCCTCTCAAGGTCACGCACAGGTAGGAAAACCCATCTGGTTTCTTTCTGTTTCTTACCATCCCTGTTTTCTCACCATTCCCTACAAAACAGGACCCAATCTCCAAAACCCTTGGGGGTACGTGTACCAAGAACGTTTGTGTCCATCATGCCCTTTGATCCCATCACTGCAATCCGCAGGGACACTCAAAAGTGGGGGGTGAGGTGGGGTGGGGTGGAAATGCTCTCTCTCCAAAGATATCCACTGCAGAGTGGCTATTAAAACCTAGAATCGATCAAACTATTCACAGTAGGTCTTATCAGCAGCCAGAGTCGAGTCCGAGGAGGGCATTGTCAAACCATTTCAAACACCCGACTGTTTGTGTTGGGGAAAGAAAATGATTACCATGGCACCAATTTCGTATGGGTCAGCTGTATAGTTGCAGGCTAAGTGACACCATCGCAAATGTGGATGGCAATCGGCAAGTGGAAAAAAGCAGGACACAGTATGCCCGCAGGTCCACACCACCCTTCACTGGGCCCAGCCCCGGGCAGGGGTAAGGAACATTGGCTGTGGGGAGGCAGCCTGTCGGCACGATTCTTCCTTTTCCCCTGCTTCTAAAGAAATAGACGTGTCTCGCTTTATAACTTTAGTATTTTTACGAGCTTTGGGAGGACAAACCGAGGAAGGACGAAATAGATGTGCCCCGGGAGAAAGAAGGGGCTTTCGACTTCCTTAAGGAGCTCCAGGCTCCACACTCACAGGGGCAGTCCTACCCTGTACTGTAGGGGCGCTAGGAGTCAGCCTGGACTGTGAGTGGGTTTTTCTGAGGGTGAATTAGACCTGGCAGGGCGCTGATACACCTCTGGATCGTAATAAGCCTGTACCTGGCCAGCAAATCCACCCTCTGCCTGTCCCCCTCACCCCCGCCCTCCACCGCCCCCTCCAGCCAAAGTGGATATCTCTTGTTGGTCTTGTCTTCGGTCAAGTGCTTGAAGCTCAGAGAACAGCTCTGGATGAGCTGGTCCAAGGCCTGCTCCGTGCTCGTCAGCTCCTTCAGCTCCTGGCCCAGCTGCTGCTGCTTCTTAGGCCGCGTGGGGTCTTCAAGCAGCCCCCTGCCTCTGGGAACACAACAGTCCCCACCAGTGTCAATTTAAGTCCACGCCCAGGGACCCCAATCCCAGGATTTCGGCAGACCAGAGCCGCACAATGAGTCTGGGAGCCAACTCCAGGGCAGGGCTATCCATGTGATCCTCTGTGGAACGCCCCAGGGGTGCAGAGCTCCGGAGTCCGGCCTAACCCCTGGGCATTGCCAGGGATGGAACTTTGAGAAGGGGTCTGGTTTGGGAGAAGAAACCAGTCAGGAACGGAACTCCATCTCTGGAGGTTCTGCTCTGATGCTATGTCCATCCCCCACCCCAGCCCCATTCAAAGGGCAGTGAGCTAACGTAACTTCTGTCTCGTCTCTCGCCTGGGTTCTGGAGAGTCCATGCAGGTCAAGCCACAGGACTGCTCTCCTTGACTTCCATGAAGGGGGGAGAGGAGTCTGGGGTGGCCTCTTTCATGACAGGAAAGGGGCTCTGGGTTAGTCTCCGCTCAGTTCCCAGGGCACTTGGCTAAGCTGGAGGAGAATCTTGGGATCCCCTAGCCAGATGAAAGATGCGCAATCACCTTGACCCTTCACAACTCCCAGGGAACCTTCCAGGCTGCCCTCCCTCACCCAGTAGACTTGCGCCTTCAGGGACTCCTCCCCACCTGCACTGGCTCTGCCCCCAGCGCTTGGGTCCTCTGGACCAAGTGTGTCAGCCCCGCCCCCAGATCCACCCCTATTGGACAAGGCCCTGGCCCTGCCCCGGCCAGGCCCCCCACCCCACCAAGGCCCCAGCACTCACACCCACTGGATGTTGTTCTTGGCCTTCTTGCGGATGAGCTGGATGCCCTCCAGCACGTTGGTGATGTCATAGATGCGTCGCTTCTGCACGTCCAGCACCTCGGCAGCCCAGTTCAGGTCCAGGACGCCATCCTCCGACTCGCTCAGGAGGTAAATGAACTTCTTGGTGAGCAGTCCCAGGGACGTGTCATACCGTGTCTTCTCCCCGGGGGACTTGGGAGCTGAGGGGCAACAGGGGCTCAGTCACACATCAGCTTGGACTGAGTAAGCACCCTTACTTCCCGCGAGTGAGCCCAGGGCGGGCAGGGACCCTTCACCACACTGTC